TGTCAAAAGTGCATCGTTTTCTACAGATGACGGCCAAACATCACGATTTTCCTTTTTTTACCGTATTTCCAACGATAAAAACTTTATCCCAAAATATCTCGATAACGCTCTTGGAGATTCCGTTTTAACGTCACGAACATCGAGGCGACTTTTGGAGGAAAAAGCTCCTGTGATCGATTTTAGAAGAACAGTTCCCAGAGAGAAATATTGCTGCAAGTATAATAGGTAATGGCTTCATTTCGTTGCTATGACAACTCCGATGTCATTGCAACCCTGATCACAACAAATTTTCATCTTTATCTAATACACCAGTGGTGGCAACTTTTCCAAATGTTTGTTTGTGGCGACGTAATTTATGCTCAAACTTGGCAGGTATTGACCCTGAAAAACTGTATGGAGCCATTTTCATATGCCAGTACGTCCTATCTTGTTGCATCAGCCCTCGTTTCTGTTCGACTGTTTTGTAAAAATTTGGGCAACTTGCAAAAATTTTTTGGGCAAATGGTTTACCGCCCCCCCGGCAAAAAATAGCCTGTACGCCTATGCCTAGCATTTCTAAACTTCCTGTTTACCCGCTTAGCAAAGAATGTAACAAGGTATTGCGGCTTATATTGGGCAAAATGAGAACAAAATTGGTTCTTGTGTAAATATTTTAGTCTTCGTAATCAAATGTTTTCGCTGTACGAAAACTTAATCAATCAAGTCTTTTTGCTTTTTATAACTTGTACAAGAATGTGGTAAATCCAAACTAACCCTGGTATAACTGATATTCCGGGCGTAGTCCAATACTCACGGAACACTTTTTGTAGGCAAAGAAAGCTTTAGGGTTACATAAACAATACGTCAGCCCCTGATAAACATACTCGTTCTCCTTTATAGTTTTGGAAAACTGGAACTGAATGACAAGCTTGATTGCCGAATTCATGTCTCTATCAGGATCAGTTTTTGGGTTGACATTAATATCTGCCGTTAAATGTAGCTAACAGCTGATATGAAATGATGTTGGGATTCCATTTTGGCAGCTACACTCCAAAAGGGAACACGTCTTGTCCTTTTCGCTTCCGGGCAGGATCCAAAGACTTTAAAAGTGCTGACTGTTCCTTTAATAAGTCGTATATCCCATTGATCACTACGAGCCTCAGCGCTCCGGAAGTTAAAAAATTCGTACCGTCTGGTTGCTATGAAGTGACGTAATCATCCAGTTGAGTATCCATCACCGTAACACTTTTGCGGTCAACTACCGCAGCGCTCGTAAAGTATTTTAATTAAAACCGTGTTCAAAACCCTGTAGGAAGTCTGTTTATTTTTGAGTCGATTAATGCACTGCTGACTTTCACGAGGTCAACTTTTGCATAAATTATCAAACATTATGTTAAGCGGGAAATCTACCTATGGTTCGCGGGAGAAGCAACTTCTATAGCGGCGCAAGACAAATGTTTCGAGAGTCGAGGATGTGCGCACAAACTATTCACTATGCGACGAAAGGAGAAATCACTGGCATGATAGCTGCATGTAAAAGTAATTTTATCAATCCAGGTCGCGCCGTGTTCGCTCGAGAACGCTGTGACAACCTCGTTTGGCGCGCTTCTCAATACTTCCAAAACATGTTGTAATCGGTAAGTAGACTTAAGCACTTAGTATCGCCAAGCCATTCGAATCAGTGTATACCCAATTCTTTGTCTGAAGATTCTCGCAAACACATATACCAAGTAAATCTGGATGGAAGAGGAAATTGTCTCCCTAAACGCAGCCAGATTATATTTTGAAGGATGGCCGCACAATTCAACGCGTCTTCCAGGTCAGCCCTAATTTATAGTTCGTAAGAGTATAAATTGCGATCTCCCTATTAAGCTTTTCTTTGATAAAACTTCAGTAGAAACAAAACAACGCAGACATGACATTCTCCTACATGAGACACAATCGGCTGAAGGAAATATCTGTTTACAAGTCGGGTAAATTATCCATTCTTGCGCACCGCAAAATCAGCTAAAATCATGAGCGCTTCTAAGAATACCACGTTTAGAACTTCGACGCGTAGGAAAAAAAGGCAGTTGTTCTATATCCTTTCTGGTTCATCCAGGTAGAAGTCCTGGCATGATGTTATTATGCCTGAGCGCTTCTAGGATATATAACACGTTTAGCATTTCGACCCGTAGCCGTAAAAAAAAATTTAGGCAGTTGTTCTATATCCTTTCTGGTTCACCCAGGTAGAAGTCCTGGCATGATGTTATTATGCCTGAGCGCTTCTGGGATATATAACACGTTTAGCTTTTCGACCCGTAGCCGAAAAAAAGAGATTAGGCTGTTGTTCTATATCCTTTCTGGTTCACCCAGGTAGAAGTCCTGGCATGATGTTATTATGCCTGAGCGCTTCTAGGATATATAACACGTTTAGCATTTCGACCCGTAGCCGTAAAAAAAAATTTAGGCTGTTGTTGTATATCCTTTCTGGTTCATCCAGGTAGAAGTCCTGGCATGATATAGTTATGCCTGAGCGCTTCTAGGATATATAACACGTTTACCATTTCAACCCGTAGCCGCAAAAAAAAAATTTAGGCAGTTGTTCTATATCCTTTCTGGTTCAGCCAGGTAGAAGTCCTGGTATGTTATTATTATGCCTGAGCGCTTCTAGGATATATAACACGTTTAGCATTTCAACCCGTAGCCGTAAAAAAAAATTAGGCAGTTGTTCTATATCCTTTCTGGTTCATCCAGGTAGAAGTCCTGGCATATTATTATGCCTGAGCGCTTCTAGGATATATAACACGTTTAACCTTTCGACCCGTAGCCGTAAAAAAAAATTAGGCAGTTGTTCTATATCCTTTCTGGTTCAGCCAGGTAGAAGTCCTGGCATGATGTTATTATGCCTGAGCGCTTCTGGGATATATAACACGTTTAGCGTTTCGACCCGTAGCCGAAAAAAAGAAATTAGGCTGTTCTTCTATATCCTTTCTGGTTCACCCAGGTAGAAGTCCTGGCATGATGTTATTATGCCTGAGCGCTTCTAGGATATATAACACGTTTAGCATTTCGACCCGTAGCCGCAAAAAAAAAATTTAGGCAGTTGTTCTATATCCTTTCTGGTTCACCCAGGTAGAAGTCCTGGCATGATGTTATTATGCCTGAGCGCTTCTAGGATATATAACACGTTTAGCATTTCGATCTGTAGCCGTAAAAAAAAAATTAGGCAGTTGTTCTATATCCTTTCTGGTTCACCCAGGTAGAAGTCCTGGCATGATGTTATTATGCCTGAGCGCTTCTGGGATATATAACACGTTTAGCGTTTCGACCCGTAGCCGAAAGAAAGAAATTAGGCTGTTGTTCTATATCCTTTCTGGTTCACCCAGGTAGAAGTCCTGGCATGATGTTATTATGCCTGAGCGCTTCTAGGATATATAACACGTTTAGCATTTCGATCCGTAGCCGAAAAAAAGAAATTAGGCTGTTGTTCTATATCCTTTCTGGTTCACCCAGGTAGAAGTCCTGGCATGATGTTATTATGCCTGAGCGCTTCTAGGATATGTAACACGTTTAGCATTTCGATCCGTAGCCGAAAAAAAGAAATTAGGCTGTTGTTCTATATCCTTTCTGGTTCACCCAGGTAGAAGTCCTGGCATGATGTTATTATGCCTGAGCGCTTCTAGGATATATAACACGTTTAGCGTTTCGACCCGTAGCCGAAAAAAAAAATTAGGCTCTTGTTCTATATCCTTTCTGGTTCACCCAGGTAGAAGTCCTGGCATGATGTTATTATGCCTGAGCGCTTCTAGGATATATAACACGTTTAGCATTTCGATCCGTAGCCGAAAAAAAGAAATTAGGCTGTTGTTCTATACCCTTTCTGGTTCACCCAGGTAGAAGTCCTGGCATGATGTTATTATGCCTGAGCGCTTCTAAGATATATAACACGTTGGCAATGAAATCGACCGCAGACTTTAAAATGTTCTTTTTAGAAGGCACTGAATTATTTTTTTTTTGATACCGCATTTTTAATTAATTTTATTTGTCGCCCCAGGATGATGACATGATTGCGTGAAAATTGACGCCTCTATCATATTAGATGCGAAATACGATCAGAGATTAAGGGAATAGGGAATGTTGCAAGCTACTGGGTATCCAGCTGAGATAGCTGACTTTTACTCAGCTATCTCAGCTGGATACTGAGGGGTTTTTTTGGTTGCTAAGACCGTGCAGCTCGTTATGGGGTCTATTGAATAAATAAAACAAAATGAATCAAATAATTTTTAAATCAGAAAATCTCGTAGGTGAGAATCAACCACATAAAACCCAGAAATAATGGAGGTTCCAGGTGAGATTCGACCCTCCGTACTCTAGTAGAATGATCTAAGCAATAAAAAGAGCTCAAACCTATGTTAACTGTTAAGTCATACCTCTTACCCACAGCAAGCGGCTGTAACCAAAGATTGTCCAAAGGTAGTCAAAATGTGTCTCTATTAAGACCAATTTTAAAGGCACATTTTTGTCGCAAGCAATGTGCTAACGATAATCCAACGACGCAAGTTGTATTCACTTATAACTGTTTTGAAACTATCGTAAGGTTGATTTACAAGTTACGATTTGCGTTGGAGGTCTATCGAAAGCACATCACACGCGACATTGAAGTCGTACAGTGTGAATCGGTCTTTAGGTAGAATTCTCTTGGTTTCAGCTGGTTCCAAAGATAAAAGTTATACAATCTTTACCTGTATAACACGGACCGCTTTGTGTTGCGGACATTTAGCTCTGTCTACCTCCTCCAAGGCTTTCCCAACGCTAAGTGGGAGGCACGGACCAAGCGAGAAGCTCGAGAGCTGGAGACAAGCTAGAAGCGCGAGAGGGGAGGCGGGAACGAGCACAGACCGCGAGCGGGGTGCGATTGGAAGGGAAAAATACTACTTTCGCCCCCCGCTTTCCTTAATAACTAACTCAAATATCCTCAAAGCTACTTGATCGGGAGTGACTGCGGACGAGTTAGTAGCTCTGTACCTTCGAGTAAACTCTTACCTCTCCTCCTGCTCCTTCATTTTATCCAGCAGAGACATGTGCTCAGGGGAGGCTTCGTCTTCCTGTTTCTCGTCTCCAGGCGGGCTAAAGCCTAAGAACCTGTCATACAGCTAAAGAAGACATTACTCGATTAAATGAATGAAAAAATATGCTAGTAACGACACATTAATTTTATTGCACTATTATACAAAACTAGCAACACCTGGAAAGCTGTCAACTTATTTTCCTCGAGAAAATAATCAAATGTAAAGGCCTCTATTTGTATCCAAATTTATCCACCATGAAAACTTCTCGTAGTTTCGGTTATATACAATATTAAAATTGCTGCAAGTTTTTAGTCAGATATGATTTATGGCTAAGCTAGAAAATGCGTGTGAAAATATACTTCATATGAGACTGTATTTCACAATAGGAAGGTATGCAAAAATAATTCAACATCTTGCTTTAGTTTCAGTGATAACTTCAGTCAGATTGAGTGATTTTTAATTTACAGTCCCTGAAGGCGATAGATTATTCTCAAGTCAGAGGTCCGTCGCTCCATTCCTTGACTGATTTTGTACATGTAGATTTACTCTTTCTTTATAGCTACATAAAGCTATGGGGATAAGTTCACGACTTTGAAAAATCGGTTGAATGTTACTACTCATACCTTGGATTCGTTTCTGTTTGGATACTCGACTTGTTTCGTCACATGAGCTCGTTTCGCGAGACATGCAGGAAGCATCTCTTCCATATCCAACACTAACTCCACCTGAAAAAAAAAAACAGGCAAAATAAAAAAAGAAAGAAAATTTAAGCAATGGCAAATTAACCCCCCCAAAATATGCGGGACTTCAACGGGATTCTAACCCATGGCCTCTGTGTTAGTGCTGCAGTGCTGTGACCAATTGAACTATGAAGACCCATACATTCGGAGCAGGCCAATTTGTTGAGTTCATCTTAACCCGTGAAAGGAATGAAACATAAAACTGCAATTACCAATGCGACGATCATATCTTCATATAAAATTTGTATTTCCGCTGTTCACATCATCATTCTGTGTTTCATTCCTTTCACGGGTTAAGATGAACGCAACAAATTGGCCTGCTCCCAATATATGGGTCCTCATAATAGCTCAAATAGTCAAGGCAATGCAAAAATGGTGATACATAAGTGGCGCCAAAAGAGTGATCCTGAGTATACCCGGACGTATTTTTTAGGGAAGACTCGAACCAAGCCTCATGAAGTATACCAGCCGCGCAGTCTGGGTGTGGCTCAAGCTTCAGGCTTTATTTACTACATTAGCTGGACCTATGACAGGTACCTTTAAATCAACATTTTTCCTTGCGTTTATTATCATCATCTTCTATTATACCTGCATCATATATCGATCAATCGCTGCGTGTGCCTGAATCTTGTCAATGTCTCCAACTGCAAGACCTACCTAAAATTGGAAGAATTGAACGATAAATAAAGCTTGTAGAGAAATGTCTCATGCGATGGCACAAATTTCCCTTACTGGTGGGATTTTATTTGGTACAAAGACGATTGCATGATTTAGGGGTGAAAAAGAAAAAGATAAAACAACAACAACAACAACAACAACAACAACAAAAAGAACACCAAGGACCGTTAGCGTTTACAAAGCCGCAGTATTTTAGTTTTTGAGAAACCTTTCTAAGAAAACCTTTTAGGAAGGAGACTATAAGTCGTTCAAAAGACCCCAAGGTGTAGCTAGTCAAAGGGTGATCAGCACAAGTCGCGGTTAATTTACTTTTACAGCTCATATACTCAGATTAACTGCAAGTCTAGAACTTTTATTTCTCTCGTGTTATAACAGTCTACTTACCAACATGTTCATAAGGATGATAGGCATTCCAAGCACAAACATTAAAAACAGAATATTGGCGAGAGTAGCGTATTCCAGGCTGTCCCAGGGCATAAACCGGTCTTCGTAGCTCATCTCGCCCAGAGTCATCACAAAGACCGTCATCATCGATGTAGGGAAAGTAGCGAACTGAAATCAAACAGTGTCAAGTGTGAGTAATAGAAAACAGGGTCTCGAAGGATACTCTCGAGATCCGGGATTTGGCCAAAATACAGAGCGGGATTCGGGAAATGTTAACGGCATACACAATTTGACTGCTATCTGGAAAGCGGCATTTGCTTAAGTGTGGGCACAATGCGCGCGGGATTGGGATGAAAACTATTTTCGGGACAGCGAAGACATTCGGGATTCTAGTGAAAAAGGAGCGGGAATGCGGGGATCGGGACCCTTCTTTACAGAGACTCTAAAAAGTGATGGTCTTGGAGCATTCAATGTGGTAATACAAGGGGTGATGCTTTACTGAAGTAACTACTATACTGTACGCACATGCGCATATGCATGTATCAAGGTGCGACTGTCAGCAGAGACATGCAGGAACATGGGTTATCAGGGAAATAGTAAACAATACATTATTGTCACATGGGTAAATTTGTTTCACCAAAAGGCTCGTGCCGAATACTTCAAAATGTTTCCTCTCACGCACACATTTTAACGAGAAAAAAAAAAGGAAAAGAAAAAAAACACTATTTATCTCTGGACCAATTAATAAAAGATTAATAATGGTAATTGAACTGAGTGGAGTGCAATTTGGTCTGAAATCATACGCGTGATTTCGAAATCGAACGAGCGCGCAGCGCGAGTTCGATTTGAAATCACAAGTATGATTTCAGACCAAAATTGCACGACACGAAGTTCAATTACCACTTTATTACATCCATTTTGAAATCACTCTTTTTTTTTTAATCTGTATTTATTGGTCCAAAATGCTGGTTCGTAAAAAGCGGAACCGGAAACACTTTTACATGTACGTGCATGTCAACAAAACAAAATGACAGATGTCACTTTACAAAAAACCCATTGGAGCGCAAAAACTTCGTTCGTGCAAATGTTCAAGCAGTTCTAAAATCTTGTCAGTGCAAAAATAGTCTTCTTCAAAGTTTAATCCTCGTCGTCTGACTCAATAATGTCGGCCCTTCGCTTCTTCTGCGGTGTAATTCTGCGATGAAGCAGCAGGATTACCAGCACACGTCAACGCTGCCATGCGGTACTGAAACTGTGAGGGACAACTTGGCGGAAATCCTGCAAAACCAGCAGCCTGAAAATCAGGATTCAGGAATTCCATGGCCTGATGCATTTGACCTTGCTGTTGGGCGCGATTAATAGGAACAAGTGGTGCTCGTTGGTGTAGGACTGGCTGTTGGACTGTGTTTTGAATTGTTGGTGCCTTTGCAGCTGTACTGTTTTGATTGGAAACGTCGTTGGGACCGTTTTCATTTGGCACTACTTTAAAACCGCTAATTATGTGAGACAGTTCTTTCCGTTGATTCTCGTCTATTTCGTCGTAGTCGTCCAACGAAGATTCACGTGCATGGCCTGTTATTTCACAAATAACGTTGCGCGGCTGACCAGACTTTTTCAATTTGGACACCAACGTTTTTCTCATGCTGTGGTTGGTCAGTTTTTTGTTCGTCTTAAGACAGGAGGCCATGGATTTCATGATGTTGCCGATGGTATTTTCGCCCATTCTAATTTTGTTGTACCAGATATCATTTGATTTGGGACGATTTATAACGCTCAGGTACAGTGGCCCTTTATCTTTCATTCCGTCGGGTCGCTTGGATAACCAAAGCTTGAAAAGGCGCACTGGATCAGTTTTTCCGCCATCGGTGGAATACATAACTTGTGGTGTTGTTCCTCGCGATATTGTTAGACCACCGCTTCGTGTTTTAGTGGGACCTTCACGGAATTCTACAACTTCGCTGCCGTCTTCTTGTTGTCTTATAACGAAGTCCTCTACGTAGGCGTCATAGTGCTCCTGGCGACCTCTAAATCCAAGTTGCTCAGTCAAGTTTTTGAAGTTCACATTGGTCAAGACTTTTCCGCTAAAATCACCAAGCTGACCTTTTAGCCAGAGGGAAGACTCTTCCTCCGAAGTGAGAGGCTGAGATTTGTTTGGTCTTTTCCCCTTTCCTTGTTGTCGCAGAGAAATTGCCTTCGCGTGGAGGATTTCTTGTGAGTTGTGAAACTCCCTCGATCGTACGATGCTCAGTGGATAATTCTTCTCCTTTAAATACCTTTCAATGGCACTCTGCATGATTTTAAGGCATTCCGGCTCGTAATCATCTCCGTCTCTTTTTTGTACTTCGGCGTAGAACTTGCTCAGGATGTTGTCGAGCTCTTCCGGCGCCATTGTTTCTATGTTTACATTTTCTAGATGACGAGACTGGCACCAACTTTTGAATACATTCATCCACTGTTTTGTCGAGCGGGAGGTATTTTTGTTGACGGCAACAGCCTTGAGCTCTTCAATTTCTTCGCTTGAGATTTCAGGGAACCTGGTAGAATCTACATTTTGTACTTTCTGAGTTGGCTCTGGATTTGTCTCTTTGTTGCTGGACTCGGGATCGCACGCATCCGGAGCGGATGTGGAGGAAAAATTATCAAAATATTCGTCAAACTGGACACTGAATGTCGGAAACTCCCCTAAAAGAACTTCTTCAGCCTCAAGGAGCTCACTATCATCATTAAGAAACTGTAAGTAATTAAATTCGTCCATTTTTGCCTTTGTAAAAAGAAAGTTTTGGCAACAAAAAACTTGCACAAAGTTTGCCACACAATATTGCCTTTATTTGTTTTTTGTTTTCCTGCAATTTGATTGGTTACTGTGAATGATCCTTGAAATCTGATTGGTTGTTTTGTTTAAGTGCTACTTTCTCATTGGTTGAAAAAAAGATGCGATTTAGAGCACAAAATAGTGCGATTCGTGAATAAATCACATCGCTCTGAGCCAATCAGATTGCAAGGATCACCTGTGATTTCCAAATGGATGTAATAAGTCCGAAAAAAATGTTACGGGATGATTTTTCCAGTTCATGGCAGGCTCATGGCGCCATAGCAAATTTTTATTGATTGACTGAAGCAAATTTCCTTCACGGCGCGACCAATTAATAGCACTACACAGATCCGGGTCATCAGCAGGAAATTTTGAGTCTCGTTCCTACATCGTCATTTGGTCGGGAAACCAGTGGTGGCATCGCGTAATGTCAGCCGTTTTTTCAGGCCAACACTCCCCATAAAGTTTTAGTGACGATGTAATTCGTGCGCCACTATTTTTTCGCAAAATCGCGTTGCACAAGTCAAAACAGTTCAAGCGAACACAAGAAATTGCCGTGCATCATGACCTTAAGTCTTTGCCATTCATCAATAACAACGAAAAAACTGTTGAGAGCTTACCTTCGTTTCATCCATGAGCAAGTAGAACGCACTACTAAATGTCATGACGAAGAGGAAAAACAGCAAGAGGACCTGGAATAGAAGCAGTAATTTCAACAACAAAACCACATGACTTACAAAACCGAACGTTTTTGCCTAGCTATATTTTTGGATGACAAAATTAAACCAGCGGAGATAGTTACAAGTACTGGAATCTAGGTACCAGATAACAGCAGTCTCTTTCGTGCAATTAAGCCTTGAATAACCAGTATATGATGTTAGAAGCGCTTTTTTACACTCTAAAGACAACAAATTGTTAACTGACCAAAGAGGACAGGTGCAAATTGATCAAGCACTAACCTTAAAAAGCGTGAAAAACATTGTCGTTAGCATTATTATGTACCGACCATACGAGGAAATCCTGTGAATTTAGAAATAAAGATTGATATGTTCGATATAATGTCATCACCTATATGCCTCCCATCAGTCATTTGTGCTCCTTTCTAGGAACTTATGTAAGCAACGTTCCCGACTCAGTGATCGATCCCGAAAGTTATAGTCTAGAGAAATATAGGCAAAACGTGAACAGTAATTTGTATAGAAAAACATCCAACACTGAGTGGCACTTGAATATTTGTACATTACAATTCGTCCGTTATTAATGAACAAAAATGCCATAAAAATTCCATTTCTCGACGTTTACCCTACTGTTAACATAGATGAAAATAGAAACACCACTCGACTCACACCGCTTGTCTACGAATTTTATGCCAGCATTAATTTGGTTCATAAATACTTAACTATAGTCCGGAATGTGGAATAAACTTTTTAGATACATCGATGATAAGTGGCCCATGAAAGCACGGTACAAGAGATTTGCAACAAAAGTTTGCGTATTCCTCTTCCGGAATACGATCAGTCGAATGAACCACTAGTCTGCTGTGAACAGTATACTCGGATAAAATATATGGAGCGTTTTGTCGTGACGTCACGGCGGCCATATTGGAGCCTCAGACAATGAAACCTGTCTCAAACAAAGTCCTGTATTGGGTTAGGCCTTGTTTTGTTATAATAAATTGCAAATATGTTGGCCACGTGAGTGAAAACACTATTGACGCCAGTGACTCATGTGGCCTTTTAATCCAATCAGCAATTACCTTCTGAGGAAAAGAATGAGATTCACCCAACCAAAGAACAAAGCGATTGCACCCACTTCCGTCTTGTATCCTAGTTTACAATCACACGCCGGGAGAATGTAAGCAAGGGCAGACACGTAGGCAATCCATTCCAGATAGTGAGAAAAGAAGACGAGATATCTCTTTTTCTGAAACCGGTGAATATATAAAAAGGAAAAGTTGTGAGGAAAGTTAGCACGTCGTTTCATGCCAGTCTCCCTCACAGCCCTTTTTGTCTCGTCACGAAAGGCTCCTCGACGAGCGCTGAGTGACGAGACAAAAACGGCTGCGAGGGAGACTAATTTCCTGCAGATGGCGCTAGAAAATAAAAGTGATGGTGAACATTTATTGAATGAAGCTGAGTATATGAAGGATTAAGAAGATCACCGGGAGAGTGCCAACGGCCTCGGTGGATCCCCACGAGATTTACTTAATTCTTCATATCACACGAAAGACTGATTCGATAATTGTTTTTTTTTTTCATATTCATTTAAAATATTTCTAATTTTTTATCGTCCTTACTACCTCATAGACTTTCCTGAAAACAATTCCGTGGATCGGAGACTCATCGTTTTAGAATATTTACAAATGTTTTTGTTCAGTAAATTGCAATGTTAATTTGTTTTTTAGTAACTGGTGCTTTGGTGCCGCTCTCTTCAGTAATGTAGGAGCTGCTAGTAAGGTGTTTCCTCATTGGTCGCAAAAAGCAATAACACATTTATCATTATTTCTTATTGTTTCACGGTAAGGGTATCGAAACAATTGGTTTTTAGGGTTAGGAAAGCTGCTACATGCCGCTTCATTTGCCAACATCAAATAATAATGTCGCCTTATTAGAGTACCAACCTGCATTTTCAATTGAAAAAGTTTCTTCATTCCGTGAACCATTGTGATTATAGCTACGAAATACTGAAGAAACTGGGCCACCTGTAATTGAAAAGAATTATACAATCCAAATAAGAAAACCGCGATGAAAATTGTTATGTTCCTACACTTTTCACTAAACTAAACATGGCCGGACTGCCAGTGGTTACAGGACAATGAAAGTCCTTTAAAAATTATCAGTTCATTCAGGGGTATTAAAAAACAAATTTGTGTTCAAAGTTGTTTTGCTTCGCTCCACTCTTATAGTTGTTCTGATCAGCGCCTTCCGCATAAAGTAAAAAACAACAAAACAAAAGACAATAACTGTAAACATTCTTTTACAACTCACACCACTTGAACTACTCAAGGGAATCGCACTTTCCGCAGTTATAGGTGGTGAGTATTGGAAATGATGTAGGTTGAGATGTATTGGCAATGTAATACCTTGTCAGATTGTCTGCACGGGACGTCCAAGTTAATGTAGTCCTGTAAGCAACGATAAAACAAGTTAGTGCCAATTTATTCACAGCTTTGAACATCAACTTCTGTTAACACTTCCATAGAATTAGCTTTTCAATAAACAGGTGTTTCAAACCATCATTTTGCCATTCCACCGTTAACTTTAGACTTTTAGACTAGAAGTAATCTTAGATTGGTGAGTGCGTTCGAATTTTTTTATATAATAATTATTAGCTTAAAGAGAAATATTATCCTATCTGCAAGTTCCACGATACCGTATTTATTCGAATAAGCCCTCAACCACGAATTAGCGCCCACCACGAATAAGGGTCTATCCTAAAGGCAGAGAAAGTTGATAACCGTCCAGCCTCGAATAAGCGCCCACTCTCAAGGTCCAAAAATTTAATAAGCGCCCAGGGCGGTTAATCCAATAAATACGGTACCAGTGAACTGGACATCGACAGCAAATAGATGTAGGTCTTTCCTCTCAAGTGACATTTAAATATACATTTAATTGAATATAAACAACAGGTCAAACATTTTGCTTCACAGATGTGGCAAAGCCGGCTTTCACCTCTCACATAACTTTAGTGCATGACAAAAGCTTCTCAAGTAACCGCATCGGGAAAAATAAGCTGAATCTCTCTAGTAATATTAAACAGAGTCATCGAGACCAAACGCGCCGGCCAGTCTAAGATGGAGTCCAAACCGTGAAATTTCATGACATTCCGAACGAGGTATCGGGATAACCTGCGGGACTGGATTAGTATGCGTTCTCCTTTGCCGAACGCAATAATTGACTAGTTTTCAAAACCCATAATACATAACATAATTGTGTTTTTTTATGAAACGAGGAATTGCATAAAACAATTCTTAGTAAATTAAATCACGCACTTGACATCTCCCGGAGTGACATTGAGACAGATAACGATACCTTATCTCTAAAATTACCTTTCTTGTCCAAGATTCATTTATGTTGCACAAACGTTTTTCATTAGCGCGCTCCATGACAGCAAGAACAGTCAGCGGAATCACAAATAGGAGATACAAAATCATGTTGATGGTTATGGTTTTCCATCCAAAAAATTTCCTGAAAGACGTAGGGAGGTAAAACATGCTAAGATGAAAGACTCCTGTTTCTAACAGCTGGTTTTAGCTTAAACTCCCGTTGTATGTGGGTGGCAAGTAAGAAAATTTATCCTCCTCAACTAAAGACAATGAACTGAAAGGACAGATGAAAAGCTTGCCGCGAAAGAAATTTAATTAAATAAATAACAGCTACAGAGCACTTTACATGTATCTTTTTTATTAATTAATATATCTTTTAAATTTATTAATTATTATAGTGGTATTATTAGTAGCAGTATTACTACTACTACTACTACTACTACTACTACTGCTGCTGCTGCTGCTGCTGCTGCTGCTACTACTACTACTACTACTAACAATAATAATAATGATGTTAATAATAGTAATAATAATAAGAAGAAGAAGAACAATAATAATGTTCAAACAATGACATGATATATGTGTATCTTACCATTTGGTACTCATAGCAATGAAGCAAATTGGATGAGACAAACAGCTGATTCTTTGATGTTTCAACATGGTCTGTAGAGGAAGTTGGTGTTTTTGGTGTTTGGTTACAGCTTCGCCACAAACAGGTGATTATTGAAAACATCAGAAAATGTCAAGTCTGATTGCAAAATTAACGCATTTTAATTATTAAGTTTAAAAAAGAAGGAAAAAAAGAAAGTTACCTTCAGTACCATCAGATAGTCTTGGCCTCGTTTCGGCTTTCCTTGAATGAGGGACAAATCGTAGGTTACCTGAACCAAAAAAAGAAAGAACAAAACAAAAACATTAACCTGCACAAAAAAGAAAACCAAACAAAGAAAACAAAACGAAAGAGAAAAGTTATGAAGTTATGAGGACTTGAGAGCGGCAGAGTTAAAAGCTTGGTTACTTTACAATAATTTACTGATACTGACTCCGTAGCAAGGAAGTAAAAGAATAGCTAAGAACATAACTTTGGTCATCCCCACAGTGTTGTCTTAGACTCGATCTTGAGTGGATAATCTGTACGGAGGAGATCTTAATTGTCGGGATCACGTCTAAAGTATTACATTCCTAAATTGATCTTTATTTTTAGTAAGCAATGAAACGAAGCAAGCATTATATCCGGGCTAATGACTAAGCTTTTGAGGTTACAAATAAACCCTTACTGTGTAATCTTCGCCATCGGGGTTCCCTTCATTGATTATGCACTGGTCCAAAAAACGCTACAGAGGAGAAAAGTGCTGCATCAGCTATAAATTATTTGTTCAAGTACGCTTAAAAAAAGACGTATTCATTGAAAATATTATCATAATGGAACGGGCCTTCGTAGTTAATTTTATTTTTGGCCCGATGCAAACTGACGTGACTTCGACCCCTCTTAAAATTGAATACAAGACGTATTTATTTCATTTATTTCTTCGTAATCTAACTACTGTCAACACCTAATACATTGACTTCTGTAAAAAAAATTATGCACAACAATGATTTTCCCTCCTTAAAGATTGATTTCCACTATCGCGTTTTGGCTATGTAGGTTGACGTACGTAAATTTTAATCGCGTAAATAAAAGGGACGCAAGATAGAAAGTACTGAGCTTCAACGAGAAGTTGAGCGAGGTTCAACTTTTACGCTTACGAGCGACCTTTCATGCATTGCCTTTTTTTTGTTTGCAAACGTAAATTTTACGCACGTCCGCAAGTAAAAAATACGCGACACTGGAAATCAACCCTTAGAAAGGAGAATTAGCGCAGTTAGTTCGTTCGCAGCCTTCTGTGCGTAACGTCCCCAGTTCGATTGCCAGATGCGACCACAAATCCTTCTTTCGACGTCTTTCCTTTCCGTGTAGCTTTAAGTAGCTTTAAATACTCGTAAAAAGGAGCCCTGATTATTATTATTATTGTTATCATTATTATTATATTTATTATTATCATCAGGTTATTAAATTTATCCTACATTAAATCCAGTGAGGATGACCACTTTTCTTACCGTTGCAACTTCAGGAAATTTGACGACTAAAACTTGCATCTGTGACAGGTGACCTGGGGCCGATGACATTAGCAACTCTCTCCATCTGCAGAAAAAAAAAAGTGTAAAATCTTACTACCACTGTATGAAGTAGGAAAGCTGTTTGGCTCGTAGTCTATACAATAGATACTTGCGTGGCTCGAGAGAGCAGTCGATGCAAGTGTAAAAGATGGCCCCTCCTCTACACCTCCCGTGCTCTCTTCCCTTCTTATTCCACTGTTTTTAAAACACTCAATGGACCAAGGAAACGTATGAAGGTTTATAATCTCAATTTTCTTAAACGAAAATTCTTTTCCCTTTTAAATGCGAGTTGTAGCTTTTTACCACAAGTAACTTTTCCTCCACAAGGTATCTTAAATTGAAACTTACTAAATATGAATTTAAAAAAGAAAATAATTTCATGATGCCTTTTATTTTAATTAGATTTTCAATTATCTAAAAATTAAAAAGAATGTTTGCTCACCTTTCATGACTTGCAATTGCGAGTAAGGAAGTTTTCCTTTCGGCCTCCATGGCTGCGTCCAACGCATTTTGATTTTTATTGTTCTGGAGGATCTCTTGTTCTTTACAAGCCAATAAACAGGATATTACTTCTGGATGACCGTGAATAGCAGCCAAATGTAATGCAGTGTTCTATATGAAAAAAAGTTCGTTCGTCAATTTATTTCCTAATATGTTGAGATAACTATCGGTTCAGTTAGTTACCCGTGATCTCGCTGAAGTTTTTTTTTTTTTTCATGCAAGAGACATAATTAACAATTCGATGAAGCTCCCAAGTTACTATAACAAAATGAATACGCAATAAATTACAGGTTAATATGCTAACCACAGAAAGTCAGTTACAGCTGTCAAAAGATACCTTCGGTTATTAAATCTCTAGAAAGGCCAAAACATTGGCTCATGCAGGAAAATAAAGGGTACATATCATTTTGATGTTTGTAGAAGTTGTTAATTATCCTTTGGATCGTGGTTTCAAGTTTGTTTTGTGCGTATTTCAGATGAATAAATTTCGATTGCAATGGCTAAAAAATTTATTGTTTCAAACAAATAATGGTTCGTATTTAGCAGGAGCTCCGCTTTTAGGTTTGGCCTTTAGGTGGAGTCAATCACATGTCCTTGTTGTTTTTGGTTAGTTGTTGTTGTTTAGTTTGAAAAATACTCGGAAATCACTCACCTGATGTTTGTCCAAGTGGTTAATGCATTGAGGTTGATACTGCAACAGATACTTGACACATTGCGTAGATCCTCTCATAGCAGCAACGTGAAGGGCTGTTCTATCGCTATGATCACTGAAGTTACAAATGACTGGTATGTTTAAACCAGGAATCCTATATACATCTTACCTTAGCAAACATGTAGGCTTGGACAAATTTTACTGCGCCTGGCAGAATATTCAGCAGAATGAGCTAGTATTTTTCTGGCACAGTAAGGTATTTTCGAGCATAATTTGAGAGCAAAATCAGAGAAAAAGCATCACTATTCAATCACGTAACATTTGTAACAAAATTAAAAAAAAAAAAATAGCACAACAAACCGAGAGATTTTGTGATTAATGTAGCTATTTTCTAATTAGTATTTAGGAGTCTGGGCTTCCTTTCGTTTTTGTGAAAATGCCAGTGGAAAAAAGGACCGAAAACATTTTAGATACTGAGCAGAACTCGAGGAGAATTTTTACAAGAATTGCTGGCAGCCAGAATAAGCCATTATGCGAGCAAAATTCATCCAAACCCATCGCTAAAACAAGAGGTTTTTTTTGCAGAACTTTACCGACCTTTATGAGTTCCAACAATTTTCCTTCTGGACCATTTGAATTATTACATTCACGTATCATTTATTGTTATTAAATATCGCGTTACGTATGCACTAAAAATTCCAGGGAAATAACAGTTTTGTTTGACCGACGGTTTTCATACCTTACCGAGGGTAAAAATAACCTGCTTGGATCCCCTAATTAATAATGCTTATCGGTGAGTTAACAGCTTCTCCTCTTTGTGTTTGCAGTATAGATGCAGGCCAAATTCCTGCCACTCAGGATAATCTCATGAAAGATACAAAGTAAAGGACGAAAGAATACCCGCGTGCAAATGAAATGTAATTGCCACGAGGTGAGCTTCAATGGAAGCGTAGAATGGATAAGAGGACGTTAAAAAATGCAGTTTATCTGAGTGTCAATGTATTTAGCACGATTTATTTATATATATTAACTGGGGACACAATTCTTACGTCTCCTAGAGAGGGGACCGCCATTTTACGTGGTCATCGGAGTCATGGGAAGGTCTAGCCGCTTGCAGTGGAAAAAGAGTGAGTATTGGTCCGGCTCCAGGAATGGAACCCGTTTCCTCTCGCTCTGTAGTCAAGCGCTTTACCGACTGAGCTGATAGTAGTAAAATCCAACTAGTGGTCTATTATCACTGCTGCGTTCTGATTGGTTGAGCTACTACTAGGCTATATGTTATAGCCGACTAGTAGCGAAAAGCGACGGCTTTGAAAACCTTTTTTTTGCTAGCTAAAGATGTTTGGTCTCGATATTTTTGACCAACAAGTTGGAGTTTACTGAAACAATTATTCCTCTCCTCGTCATGGCCGCTGAATCAATAGCCCATTCGGGCTCGAGGAATAATTGTTAAATATCTTAGTTACAACGCAAAACTACCATCAACAGATACTAAATGGAAAGGTTACCTTTGCACAGTCGCGCCAAGCTTGAGTAGGAGTTCAACAACTTGGTCATGTCCTTCTACACATGCGAAATGCAAAGCTGTCTTTCCTTGATTGTTTTTCACATTAATTGAACGAACATTCCGGCCAGATAATAAAGCATCAACTATTTCTAACCATCCATATCTAAAAAAAATAATAATATAAAAATTCAAAAGTGTTGATGCCTCTTTCTGCATAAAATGCGATTTATTCGAATTATTTTAAAACTACAAATATTCCGGGCCTAGTTGAAAACAAAAAGGATGTTGGTTTAGTGTGTATACTGAAATTGCTAACTCATCAATAAAATACATCCTTTCTCGATCTGTATAGTGCATGTATTATGAGGAGACAATACCTGGCGGCGCCGTGAAGAGCAGTGTCAAGTGCATCTGACGTCACAATAGTTGCGGCCTTATTTCTCTTCATAAACAGTAAGATGTTCTATGGGAAATAAGAAAAGGACGTGCTGATACTCCGGTGTTAAGGAATGGGTCTCGGAAAATTTGTAGGGAGGTGGTCTACTTATGCGTGACCTTTTTCTACAAAAATACATCAGATTCATTTTAAATGGTGAATTTTCTTTGTTACGTGACTTGCCACACCCATATATTACTAGTTGTTTTGATTTAAATTTACACCACTTTTAAGAGCTTTGATTGAATTGAGTTTACACGTTTTTTTTTTGACAATCAGTACAAGGTTTGTGGAACTCATCGCGGTTTTTGGAAATTAATTGTTTTATATAAACTGTAACGTTCCTTTTAGAGAAAGACTGGGGCGAGAAGAAAACATTGAATTATTACCAAGGAATAGAAGGCTTTAAAATTTTCCTGATTGGTTTTAATTGTTTAGCATTAGTCTAAATACAATAAACGAAAAATTGAGGACTCAAAGGTTTAATTTGTATAAGAGCCGAAATTCTAAAATGTAAACTGTAATTGTAACCGTCCCCTCCTTTCATTTACGAAGCGCCAGACAAACATCCATTTGATACCGGCAATGTTAACCATGGTGAACCGTCTCTGATCGGTCTAAAATCCCTTCCAAAAGGACTCATAAAGAAACAGGAACACAGGTACTAATACATTTTAGTACTATGATTTTATTAGCTAATACAGTGTAAATACATTTAATTATTCTATTAGCTAATACCGCGTTCGGGTTCCCTGTGGCTCTGGCTTAAATTCATACCTGAAGATTGCCGCATTTTGCAGCATAGTGGACTGGAGCAAACCCTGTGATATCCTTGTCAGTTATCAGTGGTATAGCTTCGCGTTTCTGTGAAAAAAACAATAAGGGAACTAGAGAGTTGTAAGCATCAAAATTTAAAGTAACGAAAAGTGATACAATCAAATGCAATAATAGAAATGTGATAGAAATATTGTGATGGTGAATGTGAAGTAAAATTATATCAAAGGGAAGGAGGGTTGTTATGTGTCATCTCCAAAAACCAGATCTTTTTCATTGTCCGAATTTTCTTCACAACTGTGAGCTTATATATTTTTATTTATTTGTTTGATTTATTAGCCTTAAAAAAAAAAAAAAAAAAAACAATTATTACTTTTATTACTCTTGTTGTCATTTTTTTTTTGTATTCGTTACGTCAACCGTCACTGATATTCGTTTCGCTACAATACCGATAATAACACTGTCATTGTGGCAGTATGTCCCACAGCCACTCTGACACAGGATCGGAGATCAACATCTTTGGCAGTTACGTCAGCACCATTGTCAATCAAAACCTTGGCAGCCTCCGTTCCACCATTTTCAGCTGCTAAGAAGAGAGGGGTGCGACATAGTTTGTCTCGTGGATCTACCAAGGCGCCCTAAAAATCATATTATAGACGATAGATATTAGCTTCACGAGAGCATAAGTATTTCCAAAAATTTAGATTTCGCTGTATTCTTTAGTCAACAACTTTTTCAAAGTTCGCTTGTTCATCTGGAGCTCTACCGGTAAATATCGCCATACTTCATCGCTATCTTGTTCCGCTGCCTTCTCCATTTTATCATCATCATCATCATCATCATCATCATCATCACCACCACCGCCACCACCACCACCACTACCACCACCACTACCACCACCATCATCATTGTCATCATCATTATCATCATTATCATCATCATCATCATCATTGTTATCATCAACATCATTATCACTCTGTGTTCATGAACTAACCTGTTCCAAAAGGTACTTTAAGACATATGGGTGATTTTTGAGAGCTGCTAGGTGTAATGGTGTCCAACCTTGTGCATCGATAAGGGTTATTCGACAAATTTGTGGATCCTTAGATGCAAACAGCTTAACTATCTCCAGGGCTCCCACAGCACATGCCAAGTGAAATGCAGTGCTCCTGTCATGATCCTGAATCAATGATTAAACAGAAATCATTCCATTTAACAAGCTTGCACTAAGAAAATACCTTCCAAAAACACCAACTATTTTAGGCAGATTCTTTAACCATTCTAAGACAAGCTGATTCCGGGGTGACATGAAAATAAAGTGCCGGATAAAATAGAAAGGGTAAGGTTTTTTCCTCCTAAACTACGCAGTGCATGTCCCCTTACGAACAAAGCGCAGTACCAAGATGGAGTCATGGGTTTTCCTACTCTCTCGCCGGCGCTCCTTTTACTTCTTTTCAGTCTTTTTTTATTATTCTTTTTTTCTGTTTATTATTCACAATAGGCTATATTGCAGTTAATTACTAAAAGGGCCATCAGCGCGACTAGCAATATTATCAAACTTAAACATATCAATGAATTACTGTGCTAAGACTTGTTTAGTTACTCTTTGCCAATTACCTTTGGCTGTCGAATGATAGATCCATTTTTGAGACAAAGTTTCACGACCTGAAAGGAAGTAGAAGGGTCAAACAATCAACATTAAACGCAAGGAGGAATCGCAGTTAAAAGAAAATTGCTGAGCAAAAAAAGTACTCACCGCACAACTTTCACTGTCGACTGCTAAGTGGAGCAAAGTACTGCCGTCAGAGTCCACATTAGTAAGCACGTCCTTCACCATTTCTTTCTCCCTTGTTTTAGCTTTGAACGAAGCAAATATAAGTAAATAAGTACTGTAATCAACCATAAGATTTTAAGGCAAATCTTTGCCAACATGTGAGATATATCAATACAACAAATAAAATAGTAAAATTCCGACTACCAACCTTTGTAGTAATGTTATAGAAGGAAAATTTGTTTAAAGATAACTCTCACAATCTTATATCAGGAATCATTTAACAATTGTCTCTCGAACTGGGATTTGGCAGCGTTTGTGTCTGACAGTAAAATAGATCTTCAGATAATCCCACATTGTAAAGAAGAAAGATCTGTTTTATCCCTAAAAACGGGACTATTTCGGTGAGAAACAGTCTTGTTTTGGGGTCTAATTTGGCTCCGTTAATCAGGGTCTCTACAGCCCAATTACCGAGGGCTGATTTGCACCCACAGGCTGAGATGAATCCCAGCATGGTCTGAAATAGGCTTTTGATGGGGATTTAAATCATGCTCAAATGGATCCAGGAGATGCTGAATCGGATTTTAACCTGTATGGCTGCATTGGCACTTTGGGGCTGAAGAGGATCTTTTTCACTTTCAATGCAGGCTGGATTAAACATTAGCCAGCCATTTGAAAGCGAGTGCTTTTGTTCCACGTAAAATGACAGTGGAAAAGCCAAAAATTGTCATCACAATAGTTAATCACTATTTACGGACTGAAGCCGGAATGCTTGGTTAATCGCATTACTTTTTCTTTTACTGAATTGCTTACCGTCTTCAAATAAAAACTCCGCAACAGTGCAGGCTCCTTGTTCTACGGCTCGTGTCAGCGGTGTCATTTCTTCGTCATCACGACAGTCGGGAGAAGCACCGTGATCGATCTAAATGATGTATTGAGACATGTACAGATGTATTGAGACTTGCCGGATGATTGTAGCAAGAGCCAAAAAAATAGGAAGTAAGAGGGCAGACGAGAAAATTGTATCTCTCCTCTTGTAGCTTGGAGAACTCTGTCGATTTGATCCCTCCCAAAGGAAACTATCACACACAACTGAGGAACAGCGCTATTAAATACTGAAATCTATGGGTGAATTTTAGTATCTTGTAAATATAGGGCGTGGAAACCATTTTATTTATGCTTCTGAGTGATTTAAAATAAAGAGACTCTCGGAAAGTATTTTCACAGCAAAAGTCAGAAATTGTTTCATTTTCTATGCATTATATTCGAGCGAAAAAATCGCGATGGGGAGATTAGCTTTGTATGCTTGATTGCGTTTTTTTTTAATACCTCACTAGACGATCGACTTCCCATTAGCTAACCGTCCTGAGAAAGCAGCCGACATTGAAGAAATTCCGTCTGACAGACGTGTCACTACCCAAATATGGGTAATGCCTCTGATTTGCTGAGGCAAATTTCCTTCGCGGAATGACCAGTGAGAAGCACTACCCATATCTGGTTAGTGACAAGTAACACATCACCAATATGCATTTCTGCGTTCTTCCTTCAGACGTCACTACACAGGGAAACCAGTGGTGACGTTGCGGAATGTGGGATACCTGTTTTCTCAGGCTACACGAAGCTATTGACATCTTCGCAAGGTACTTGTATAGTAAACCTACAATACCTATTTTGCCACTTACCAGAAATTTGCAGATAGAAACTTTGTCCATCTTAGCTGCGATGTGAAGTGGTGTCTGAGATGCTTTCCCAGTTATGTCAGGGTTGCAATCTTCGCGACTAAGAAAAGCCTAGAGAATGCAGGAAAAATAGGTTCAGTTATCAGAAAAAACGAAAAAATCAAATTGTATTCGGATTACTCCCTTCAAAGGGGCTGACACGGTATTTGCTATATTTTTAAAAAGGTTGAAAATGTCTTTATATAAAAAAAGTGGTTCACGTTTGTTATATAACACTAGGCATTGAAACTGTTTCCTGTCCTTTCTTTTGTTACGGATGGCAGGGATGCATGTGGATTGAAAAAGAAAGGAAAAGGATTCTTTTCAATGCGTTACCTGCAAAGTTCAATAAAAATATTATGGTTAGTGTTCCATGATGACATTTGTTTGATATCTTCTTTAAAACTCTACCGGAGTGGAGTGTGCATGGATAAAGGTACTTTTATCAGTAATGACTTATGAACAAATTTGGCCTTAAACGGCAACATCCTTGTGACATCACTCCTTCAAATAACGGCATTTTCTCTCTCAATTTTTTCGTTTCTATATATAAATATCAAAATCACACTCGGTCATACACAAGAGTGGATTTTTTCAAAGAATTAGGTGCTTGACAGGAAAAAAAAATTTCTTAACAAAATCTCTTCGCATTTATTGTCCGAAATAAAAAAAGGCTACTGTAGTTCTAGACTGAACAATTGTGTGATGTAGACGCAACGTCATTAACGTTTGTCTATTGAGGAGCTAAACTCTTTCTTTTCTGCTTGATTGTTGTTGTTGTTTTTTTCGAAAGATTCAGTACAGATTGCGCAGTACACGTGGAAGCAACAATCGGCTACATTTTGAATGCTTCTTTTAGTAATCGCAATATCCCCGTACAAGCCGCTCAGATCAAAAATGATATTGTGCTAGGCTATTTTTATACTATGCAATCCCCAATCAAGAGCTTTATTAATGCAAATATCGGCCTTAAAAAGTGCTCCATCTTTTAAGGTCAAATCAGGGACTAAAAGCTTCTTAGAATCCCTGTGATTCTTACCTTAACAAGGTTTTCGTTCCCAGTGCGAACCGCAGTATGAAGAGGTGCCTCTTGGCTCCTATCCAGAAGTGTTGTGTCAGCACCTGCCTCTAAGAGAATCTCCACTATGTTTACGTGATCCCCTAAGATGGCGTTATGGAGAGCAGTCCGTCCTGACTTGTCAAGTTGGTTAACATCTAAAAAAAATAACTTCTCAATAAAACGCTGAAGGCAGTTTTGTTAACGTTCTTGGTAGTTGAAGCAGAAAAATTTAGCCCTGTCTCAGCCTCGTTCCCAGGCGTTTGCCGACAAGCTTTACAGGTGACGTCACATCCGACCGAGGACGACTAGGAACGAGGCTGACCCTGTCTTACTTATTTTATCAGTTTGTGGATCAGTTGAAGTTTCTGGGTAACTGCATGATCACTACACCTCCACAATTTTTTCCCTAAGCAAGAGGGAAGTGTTCATGTTTATTGAGGGGAGGGGTAGTCGGTCAGTTACCCAGAAACATCAATCGATATCCAATTTCTTTGTACATTTTTCTTTTCTAAATTTCATTTTTTCTTGGTTTATAAACATTTTTTACAAGCACTATTTATTCTTATGCTTTTCTCTACCTTTTGGTGACTAAAGACCTTTCAAATGGCATATATATTCTTGAACGCGTACGAAGTAATACAATGCAGGTACATGTATATAACATTATAATATTTCTCGTTACCTGCTTTGTTTATCATGTTTCTGACTTCTTTTTCGTCTCCACACCAGGACGCCAAATGTAACTTGTCGGGATGCTCTACACTGTCATCCACCTGCAGAAACAAAAGAGCATCTTAGTTATTGTTCGCCTTAGCCATGACAAATTAAGATCTGCTGTCCTGTTCTGCAAAACGTATTGCGCATACTCTTAGCCGGAAACTCAGCATCAATCGGCTTTACTTTGCATGCGGCACCAATCAAGTGTGAAAACCTACGAACGTTGAGTGTCACTGCTGTTCAAACTTTTCTAGATCGGCTTGTACGCTTACACAAAAATCCTTCAGGTAAAATATGATTACAGCCAAAGGCAATGTTATGCCGAACCGTATTTTAAAAATTCAGTTTAACAACTTTCTAGAATGACTTCTTCTCTACTGTTTCATGCTTATAAACACACAAGCTCATCTGGCAAAAATGATCTCAACGTCACTATTTTGTGATGTTTTTAATCATGAGTGTTAGTTCGTGCAACAACAAAACAGCTCTCGCTAAAAACAAGCGAGATCAGAGCGCAAAAACTGCATGTTCTTAAAATGCAAGCCGGTTACTTCAAAAGCACGGAACTCTGTTTCAAGCATTGACTGATAATGAGCAATTACTTTCATTGATATATTTAGATTTTTCAAACATACCAGTAATTCAGCATCATTACAATCAAAGGTGGCATCAAACAAAAGGCTCCCCTCTGAATGGAGAGACAGCTGACTCAGTGCTTTGGCTCGATGGCTCCGATTTAGGGCAGGGCTAATAGGAATCAATGGCAAATCCTCGTCACCTCTTCTCTCTGGATGTGCTCCAATGTCGTTCAAGTTGTTATCCATTTCACTCTAAGGGCTTTGTATAACAGAGATAATAACCCCTACAGATCAGTTAGAGAAAAAAAGAAAAGAAAGAAATTAATGGCTTTGATAGAAATATACGGTGATAAATGGAGCTTAGCTTTCGAGCTAACCACCGCTGTATTATGAATAGAAATAATTAATATGTGTGCTAGGTGTCCTGGCAACTATAGATAATAATGTGAAATAGTCATTATACGTAGTTAACATTCAGTTGAGAGTTACGCAGAATGGAATTCTTTTGTTTTGTTTTTAGGACTTAGCCTGTTCACAGACCCTCTGTTTTCTCTTCAAAGTCCGTCGAGCGCGCGTGATAAAAAATAAATTTTGAACTGGTAGTGTTTACCATAATTTGACCGTACATGAAAATTAAGATTTGAGGCATATCAGGTATCTTGGTGTGAGTGAATATCAGGACACCTTTTGGCCATTTTACGATAATTCCAGGTTATTTCCGAAGATTTCCCAAGACTACCGAATAGTTCCGAACACTACCGAAGAACTCCGAGGACTGCCCAAGACGTCCAAAGACTACCGACGATGTCCAAGCCACAACCGACGATTTCCGAGGAGAAATCTGAAAATTTTCCAAACAAGTTAGAAATGAAAAATCCTCCAAACACTTCACAGAATTTTCGCGGGAAACAGGAAAAATTAAAAATTTGGTCAATTTAACAGCAAACACTAAAAATTATGGGCAAATAACGCTTAACACTAAACCTCACTCAGACCCTCTTCTGCGACAATTCCGGTTATTTCAGAAGATTTCCGAAGACTGCTGAGGATTCGCAAAGACTACCGAAGATTTCCAAGAACAACCGACGATTTCCGAGGGGAAATTCGGAATTTTATTAAACGAAAAAAACAAACAAACAAACTTAAAAACGAAAAACCCTCCAAGCACTTAACAGTATTTTCTTCGGCAACAGTAATCGTTATAAAATTGGACAATTTAACAGCAAACTCTAAAAATTAATGGGCAAATGACAATACACCGCATTCCGAACCTAATTTTTCGGCTTTTAGTCGAATTTCGTGGTGTATGATTACTACACCCTCCCGTTCCCTAAACCCGGGTTTTTGTCTATAGGTTTTAACATTAGTTTTCAGAAGTATTCGTCTAAAGAATCAGAAGGATCGATATTACGTTTATTAGTAGGTAACATTTAAACATCTAAACAGGAGGTGAAGGTTTAAAACCAAACGAGGTCAAAATACACTTTCTTTGGCGCGTGTTGTCCTCAAATGTCCTTTACCAGTGGGTTGATTGCAGAATTATAATTCTATGTTATATCATTTAAAACTAACTGTTTTCGTTACCAACAATGGTTTAGAGAGGTAATAACTTAAAGGGAAGGGCTAAACAAGAATATGGAACTACATATGGATTCTCTCTTTATCTCTATAAGCTGCAACAAATTTAAATTCAAGAATTAAAGTTATCTAAGGCACACATACTCACACACACACAAAAAATGTCGAAGTAAGCTAATCGAACTTTTGACTTCTCAATACTGAAATCAAAATTAACTTCTTACCTAAAAGAATCGTCTAGATCTTGCTTTGGACGCCAAAACCTGAAGATTATATTATATATCTGTTGGCGCTTTAATAAAACAGGAGTTTTATTAAACTCTTATAATTGTGTTTATAATTTACAATCGTTTTTCAACGCGCTTTAAGACCGCCAAAGGAGATGTTTAGCCAGCACGACCAGAATTACTCTTTCAAAAGATTATTTGCTATACTTCAAGTTAATCAATAATTACACTCGAGTAGCTGAAACACGCATTTATGACCATTTTTGATGTTGTTTTTATGTTGTTGTCAGTATTCTATGGAGCCTGGTCGCTATTGCCCTGTGGCTAAAGGAAGATTGCGAAACTCGGCGAAATAAATTACGTGAAAACCCTTTTTAAATACTGTGTGCGAGCAATTAGGTACATAAGCTCAACTTTTTTTAACTTTTAACCATTAATTATTGCCGTAAAATGTCTAGGTAAAAAATTACACAGAATGTGGTTACTTTATATCTTACTTTATATGACTCTGGTTGTTTTAAAAAAATTCTTACGTCTTGTCTAGTTTTTGTCATTTTTTTTCTTATTATATATTTTAGGTCCTTCTAATTTATCTAGACAACATAATTGACGTCGGGAATGGCTTTAATCATCTACTTGATTATAATTATTTTATCATTTGCTTGATATTGCCATTATTGCATCGCTTATTTCGCAGCTATTGAGAACAGCGCCTTCAAACAAAATGCTTTTTTTTTCTATCTTTCTTCCTTTCTTTCCTTTTTTACCCGCATCATGCAAAGTACGCGAAAAAGAAGATCTTGACGTTGAACACTAAAAAATGGGCAAGTGAAAGGATACAGAGATAACTGACGACAAACACGCATTTTCGCGAGATACTTAAGCCGAGATGATGTTAAATAATGTATGTATTTATATTAATAAATATGTTCCAGTAAATTGAAATTTTTACAGCACGACTCCTACTTTCCCCAGTTAACGTATTGGAAGTCATTAGCCCTAGCTATGCTCTAGTTCATTTCATGTTCTTCACATGAAACATGTACTAAGCCTTGTTTTGATAACTTCAAGGCTTTGTTGACGACCTTATGGACCTTTCCCCCAACCTACAAAAGTACTTCACTTATCGTTACTCATCGGGGGGTGGCCGGTTTTTTAAATTTAACTATCAGGCTCAGTGTAGCTTAATGTCTGGCATGATTTTCAATGTGTCAAGGTCTAATACCTTTGTGGTTCTGTAGTCCTCTCAAAAGTAACCTAAAATAACCTGTAATTTAAAAACCTGAAATTATAGTTAAAAAATTAAAATCATCTAAGTTACTCTATAACGCGCTATGCTAAAAAAAAATATTGATTAAGTGTTGGCTCAGTTTATTATGTTTTTTTAGTTATCATTTTTGCCTTTAGTTAATAATATTTGGATTTAAAAGGGTTCGTGAATCTTCCAGCGTACAGCTGTCTTAAATTGGCCGGGTATCTTTCTCTGCCCCCGGCAGAGAGGGGGGTATACATGCCAGCGATTCTTAAAAACGAACAGCACCATAGATTAGGCTTCCCCTCCCTTTTTGATATTTTGGTATTTTTTCCTGTTTTTACTTAGAAGTAATACTGGTACTTACCAAAATTAAACGAAAATGAATTAAAGGTATCACAAAACTGGGGCATGAGTGTCTTTTCTCCAGTTACTCTATTTTAATATCTGTTTCATTGCTAATAAGTTTACGATTTGAAAGATCGTAAGTTTGCAATATCCAATAAGTGGAGTGAGCTGTCTAACAGTTAAAAAAAATTAAAATGAAGTTGAAAAGAAGACTTTACCCACCCCTACCCCCTTGCGCTACAAGTCAATTAATTTCACCGCTTTTTTAATTTCCATACTCGCGCTCGACGACCTCAAAACTGAGAAGAAAAAGGAAGATACTTTGAATATGCTTAATGTATAAGTCAACAGGCATTTTTTTTCTAGTATTGGCATTTTTAAATCACTTCGAGTCTTCGGCATGTGAATCTTTTAAAAGATTGATTAAAATAGCCGTGTCAGAGAACCATCAGAGCAGTCCGGGGCGCCTTGTTTATGGAATAACATCTTTTCAACGTTGTAACGTTGCTTCAAGCCGGAAAAAAAATGACCTAAAGTACAAAATTCAGTTTTCTGAAAGAAATTTAACTGGTTAAAAATACTGCTATGTGATAACTGTGTCGACAATGTCTTAGTTGAATGATCACAGGGCCGCAGGATTTGATCCACCAACCACACATGTTAAAATGACATGAGAACACTTGTCTCGATAATTGACTTTGGGACGAAAAGGTTAAGCCACAAAGCAATACATTCAGACAATACCTCTGCTCGAATCGATGTACCTTTTGTTGCACTCTTAAGGTGTTCTTGTGTTAAACGATTGGAGCTCTCCCTTTTCGTTTACATCAAGACTTACTCTTTTTAGTCTACAACAAAGATAGATCATATTCATTTAATAACTATTTCAATTAAAATAGCCAAACTACGAACCGTGACTAACATGCATCACATAATCCCCGCGCCAAAAATTAAGTAAGCACAGCAGAAAAAATGGCGCCATTTTTTAGAGGACATAAGGTCGTAAAAACTTTACTGAGAAGCAGCCAATTACCCACCTATAGGACCGTGCAAATGGACTCAACATTGTTTGCCAACAACTCCCAACATTGTTGGATGTCACATGTTGCGTCCGTTTGCATACCCTGTTGCATCATGTTGCGTGTTGTTAGGAGTCGTTACATCCGTTTGCACACACTGCAACACGGACGCAACAGAACACAACATTGTTGGCGCATTGTTGGGCGTTGTTGCGTCCATTTGCACATAGCTCAGGCTTTTGCTGGATTGTGCTCTTGACAATGGCATCTGAATACACCACTGGGCAGTGCTTGTATTTTTCTGAAATGATGCCTAAAATTATGCCGGTTTTTTTTAAATGTGCTTATATTAGCATGAAATGCCGAAATTATGCTTACTAGTGTTTTCCTTGAAAAATATCACTGCATGACTTGTAAGCATGGAACAAAAATTGATTGCACTGATGATCAATAAACGTTCTATATTCTTGACTTGAAAACTGAAAACAGGTTAGAAATGCAGTTCATACCAGATGTGCTGTTTTCGGAAGAAAAGGAGGCAGTGCCGTAGCCAGACCAAACGGCCAACCGAGGCAGGCGGGAGTTGCTAGGGGGGTTCGGGGGCATGCCCCCCCCGATAAATTTTGAACTTTAGTCTCTCGGAAATGCGATTTGCAGCGTTTTCTGGGTCTTTCGGTAACTTTTTTCGAGTTAATTTAAGTGGAATTTAAAAAGCAATAATCAGAAACAAGCTACATAACCTGGGTGACCGTTAACCTCGCCAATGGTTTTGATCAGTATTTGTTCAAAAAAAATTTGAGTTAACGTACGTAGCCCCTTGAG